GACCATCAGGTATACTACTGTGGGCAAGAATCCCTCAGAAGAAATGGAGTAGACTTCATAGTCAATAAAAGAATAGGAAAAGCAATACTGGGATACAATCCCCAAAATGACAGAATGATCTCAATTCAAATCCAAGGCAAACCATTCAATATTACAATAATCCAAATCTATGCCCCAACAACTGGTGCTGAAGAGGTCCAAATCTATGCCCCAACCACTGGTGCTGAAGAGGATGAAATTGACCAGTTTTATGAAGCCCTACAGCACCTTATAGAATTAACACCAAAAAATGATGTCCTTATCATCATGGGGGATTGGAATGCTAAGGTAGGAACCAAAAGATAACCGGAATAACAGGCAAGTTTGACCTTGGAGTACAAAATGAAGCAGGGCACAGGCTGATAGAATTTTGTCAAGAGAATACGATGGTCATAACAAACACTCTTTTCCAACAACCCAAGAGACGGCTCTACACATGGACATCACCAGACGGTCAACACAGAAATCAGAGTGACTATGTGCTCTGCAGCCAAAGATGGAGAAGCTGTATACAGTCAGTAAAAACAAGACCAGGAGCTCACTGTGGCTCAGATCACGAGCTTCTCGTTGCAAAATTTAGGCTTAAATTGAAAAAAGTAGGGAAAAACCCTAGGCCACTCAGGTATGAACTAAATCATATTCCTGATGCATATACAGTAGAGGTGACAAATAGATTTAAGGAATTAGATCTGATAGACAGAGTGCCGGAAGAACTATGGATGGAAGTTCGCAACATTGTACAAGAGGTAGCAACTAAAACCATCCCAAAGAAAAAGAAATTCAAGAAAGCAAAATGGCTGTCTGAGGAAGCTTTGCAAATAGCTGAGGAAAGAAGGGAAGTAAAAGGCAAGGGAGAAAGAGAAAGATACACCCAATTGAATGCAGAATTCCAGAGAGTAGCTAGAAGAGATAAGAATGCCTTCTTAAATGAACAGTGCAAAGAAATAGAGAAAACAACAGAATAGGGAGGACCAGAGATCTCTTCAAGAAAATTGGAGATATGAAGGGAACGTTTCATGCAAAGATGGGCATGATAAAGGACCAAAATGGCAGAGACCTAACAGAGCAGGAAGAGATAAGAAGGAGATGCAAAACTACACAGAAGAACTATACAAGAATGCGCTTAAACATCCCAGATAACCACAATGAGATGGTCACTGACCCGAACCAGACATCCTAGAATGTGAAGTGAAATGGGCCTTAGAAAAATCTGAGCAATAACAAAGCTAGTGGAGGTGACAGTATTCCAGCTGAGCTATTCAAAATCTTAAAAGACGATGCAGTAAAAGTGCTACACTCAATTTGCCAGCAAATTTGGAAAACTCAACAGTGGCCACAGGATTGGAAAAGGTCAGTTTACATTCCAATTCCAAAGAAAGGCAATGCCAAAGAATGTTCAAACTATCGCACCATTGCACTCATTTCACATGCTAGTAAAGTTATGCTTAAAATCCTACAAGCTAGACTCCAGCAGTATGTAGATCGAGAACTACCAGAAGTACAGGCAGGATTTCGAAGAGGCAGAGGAACTAGAGATCAAATTGCCAACATACGCTGGATCATGGAGAAAGCTAGGGAGTTCCAGAAAAACATCTACTTCTGCTTCATTGACTATGCAAAAGCCTTTGATTGTGTGGATCACAACAAATTGTGGCAAGTTCTTAAAGAGATGGGAGTACCAGACCATCTCATTGTCTCTTGAGAAACTATATGCGGGTCAAGAAGCAACAGTGAGAACTGGACACGGAACCACTGATTGGTTCAAAATTGGAAAAGGAGTCCGGCAAGGCTGTATACTGTCGCCCTGCCTATTTAACTTATATGCAGAGCACATCATGAGAAAGGCAGGGCTAGATGAATCAAAAGTTGGAATTAAGATTGCCGGGAGAAATATCAACAACCTAAGATATGATGCCACTCTAATGGCAGAAAGTGAAGAGGAATTAAAGAGCCTCTTGATGCGGGTGAAGGAGGAGAGTGCAAAAGTAGGCTTGAAACTCAACATTAAGAAAACCAAAATCATGGCATCCGGCCCTCTCAATTCCTGGCAAATAGATGGGGAACCAGATTTTATTTTTCTGGGCTCAAAGATCACCTCAGATGGGGACTGCAGCCAAGAAATTAAAAGACGCTTGCTCCTGGGGAGGAAAGCTATGGCAAATCTAGACAGCATACTAAAAAGCAGAGACATCACCCTGCCAACAAAAGTGCGTATAGTCCAGGCCATGGTTTTCCCAGTTGCAATGTATGGCTGTGAAAGTTGGACCATAAGAAAGGCTGAGCATAAAAGAATTGAGGCCTTTGAACTATGGTGCTGGAGAAGACTCCTGCGAGTCCCTTGGACTGCAAGGCGTTCAAACCGGTCAGTCCTAGAAGAGATCAACCCCGACTGCTCTTTAGAAGGCCAGATCCTGAAGTTGAAACTCAAATACTTTGGCCACCTAATGAGAAGGAAGGACTCACTGGAGAAGGGCCTAATGCTGGGAAAGATTGAGGGCAATAGAAGAAGGGGACGACAGAGAATGAGATGGCTGGATGGAGTCACTGAAGCAGTAGGTGTGAATTTAAATGGACTCCAGAAGATGGTAGAGGACAGGAAGACCTGGAGGAACGTTGTCCATGGGGTCGCGATGGGTCGGACACGACTTCGCAATTAACAACAACAACCAAAGAAAAGTCAGTATCCTCCTAACCATACCCAAGCACTCCGAATTTGTTGGCAATGTCCATTTTGCTCTCTGAGTTCATGGTCATCTAACCCTAACCCTAAATGGAATTTTCCTCCAATGGGATTTCCCCATGTATTTTACCAGAAAAGATAGATAGGGCAGCTTAGAAAAGTGAGTGCCCTCCTAACCATACACAAGCACTCTGAATTTGTTGGTGATGTCCATTTTGCTCTCTGAGTTCATGTTGACCTAACCCTAACCCTAAGTGGAATTTTCCTCCAATGGGATTTTCCCATTTATTTTACCAGGAAACATAGGGCAGGCTACAAAATTCTGTGCCCTACTAACCATACCCAAGCACTCCAAATTTGTTGGCGATGTCCATTTTGCTCTCTGAGTTCATGGTCATCTAACCCTAACCCTAAATGGAATTTTCCTCCAATGGGATTTCCCCATGTATTTTACCAGAAAAGATAGATAGGGCAGCCTAGAAAAGTAAGTGCCCTCCTAACCATACCAAAGCACTTTGAATTTGTTGGCAATGTCCATTTTGCTCTCTGAGTTCATGGTGACCTAACCCTAACCCTAAGTGGAATTTTCCTCCAATGGGATTTTCCCATGTATTTTACCAGGAAAGTTAGATAGGGCAGCCTAGAAAAGTAAGGGCCCTCCTAACCATACCCAAACCCTCTGAATTTGTTGGCGATGTCCATTTTGCTCTCTGAGTTCATGTTGACCTAACCCTAAGTGGAATTTTCCTCCAATGGGATTTTCCCATGTATTTTACCTGGAAAGATAGATAGGGCAGCTTAGAAAAGTGAGTGCCCTCCTAACCATACACAAGCACTCTGAATTTGTTGGTGATGTCCATTTTGCTCTCTGAGTTCATGTTGACCTCACCCCAACCCTAAGTGGAATTTTCCTCCAATGGGATTTTCCCATTTATTTTACCAGGAAACATAGGGCAGGCTACAAAATTCTGTGCCCTACTAACCATACCCAAGCACTCCAAATTTGTTGGCGATGTCCATTTTGCTCTCTGAGTTCATGTTGACCTAACCCTAATCCTAAGAGGAATTTTCCTCCAATGGGATTTTCCCATGAATTTTACCAGGAAACATATTTAGGGCAGCTTAGAAAAGTCAGTGCCTTCCTAACCATACCCAAGCACTCCGAATTTGTTGGCAATGTCCATTTTGCTCTCTGAGTTCATGTTGACCTAACACTAACCTTAATGGAATTTTCCTCCAACTGGATTTTCCCACGTATTTTATCTGGAAAGAGAGATAGGGCAGCGTAGAAAAGTCATTGCCCTCCTAACCATATCCAAGCACTCCGAATTTGTTGGCAATGTCCATTTTGCTGTCTGAGTTTATGGTGACCTAACCCTAACCCTAAGTGGAATTTCCCTCCCATGGGATTTTCCCATGTATTTTACCAGGAAACATACATAGGCCAGGCTACAAAATTCAGTGCGCTACTAACATAGTGAAGCACTCTGAATTTGTTGGTGATGTCCATTTTGCTCCCTGAGTTCATGTTGACCTAACCCTAATCCTAAGTGGAATTTTCCTCCAATGGGATTTTCCCATGTCTTTTACCTGGAAAAATATATAGGGCAGCATAGAAATGTCTCTGCCCTCCTAACCATACCCAAGCACTCCGAATTTGTTGGCAATGTCCATTTTGCTCTCTGAGTTCATGTTGACCTAACACTAACCTTAATGGAATTTTCCTCCAACTGGATTTTCCCATGTATTTTATCTGGAAAGATAGATAGGGCAGCTTAGAAAAGTCGGTGCCCTCCTAACCATATCCAAGCACTCCAAATTTGTTGGCAATGTCCATTTTGCTCTGAGTTTATGGTGACCTAACCCTAAACCTAAGTGGAATTTTCCTCCAATGGGATTTTCCCATGTCTTTTACCTGGAAAGATAGATAGGTCAGGCTACAAAATTCAGTGCCCTACTAACCATAGTGAAGCACTCCGAATTTGTTGGTGATGTCCATTTTGCTCTGTGAGTTCATGTTGACCTAACACTAACCTTAATGGAATTTTCCTCCAACTGGATTTTCCCATGTATTTTATCTGGAAAGATAGATAGGGCAGCTTAGAAAAGTCAGTGCCCTCCTAACCATATCCAAGTACTCCGAATTTGTTGGCAATGTCCATTTTGCTCTCTGAGTTTATGGTGACGTAACCCTAACGCTAAGTGGAATTTTCCTCCAATGGGATTTTCCCATGTCTTTTACCTGGAAAGATAGATAGGGCAGCTTAGAAAAGTCAGTGCCCTCCTAACCATATCCAAGTACTCCGAATTTGTTGGCAATGTCCATTTTGCTCTCTGAGTTCATGTTGACCTAACCCTAACCCTAAGTGGAATTTTCCACCAATGGGATTTTCCCATGTATTTTACCAGGAAAGATAGATAGGGCAGCTTAGAAAAGTCAGTGCCCTCCTAACCATATCCAAGCACTCTGAATTTGTTGGCAATGTCCATTTTGCTCTCTGAGTTTATGGTGACCTAACCCTAACCCTAAGTGGAATTTTCCTCCTATGGGATTTTCCCATGCATTTTACCAGGAAACATACATAGGTCAGGCTACAAAATTCAGTGCCCTACTAACCATAGTGAAGCACTCCGAATTTGTTGGTGATGTCCATTTTGCTCTCTGAGTTCATGTTGACCTAACCTTAACCCTTAGTGGAATTTTCCTCCAATGGGATTTTCCCATGTCTTTTACCTGGAAAGATATATAGGGCAGCCTAGAAATGTCACTGCCCTCCTAACCATACCCAAGCATTCCGAATTTGTTGGCGATGTCCATTTTGCTCTCTGAGTTCATGTTGACCTAACCCTAACCCTAAGTGGAATTTTCTTCCAATCGGATTTTCCCATGTATTTTACCAGGAAACATAGATAGGGCAGGCTACAAAAGTCAGTGCCCTACTAACCATACACAAGCACTCAGATTTCTTGGCAATGTCCATTTTGCTCTCTGAGTTCATGTTCACCAAACCTAATCCTAAGAGGAATTTTCTTCCAATGGGATTTTGCCATGAATTTTACCAGGAAAGATAGATAGGGCACCCTAGAAAAGTAAGTGCCCTCCTAACCATACCCATAGTGACAGATTTTATTTTTCTGGGCTCAAGGATCACCTCAGATGGGGACTGCAGCCAAGAAATTAAAAGACGCTTGCTCCTGGGGAGGAAAGCTATGGCAAATCTAAACAGCATTCTAAAAAGCAGAGACATCACCCTGCCAACAAAAGTGCGTATAGTCCAGGCCATGGTTTTCCCAGTTGCAATGTATGGCTGTGAAAGTTGGACCATAAGAAAGGCTGAGCATAAAAGAATTGAGGCCTTTGAACTATGGTGCTGGAGAAGACTCCTGCGAGTCCCTTGAACTGCAAGGCGTTCAAACCGGTCAGTCCTAGAAGAGATCAACCCTGACTGCTCTTTAGAAGGCCAGATCCTGAAGTTGAAACTCAAGTACTTTGGCCACCTAATGAGAAGGACGGATTCACTGGAGAAGAGCCTAATGGTGGGAAAGATTGAGGGCAATAGAAGAAGGGGACGACAGAGAATGAGATGGCTGGATGGAGTCACTGAAGCAGTAGGTGTGAATTTAAATGGACTCCAGAAGATGGTAGAGGACAGGAAGACCTGGAGGAACATTGTCCATGGGGTCACGACGGGTCGGACACGACTTCGAAATTAACAACAACAACCATACCCAAGCACTTCGAATTTGTTGGCAATGTCCATTTTGCTCTCTGAGTTCATGGTGACCTAACCCTTAACCTAAATGGAATTTTCCTCCAATGGGATTTTCCCATGTCTTTTACCTGGAAAGATATATAGGGCAGCCTAGAAATGTCACTGCCCTCCTAACCATACCCAAGCACTCCGAATTTGTTGGCAATGTCCATTTTGCTCTCTGAGTTCATGTTGACCTAACACTAACCTTTATGGAATTTTCCTCCAACTGGATTTTCCCATGTATTTTATCTGGAAAGATGGATAGGGCAGCTTAGAAAAGTCAGTGCCCTCCTAACCATATCCAAGCACTCCGAATTTGTTGGCAATGTCCATTTTGCTCTCTGAGTTTATGGTGACCTAAGCCTAAGTGGAATTTTCCTCCAATGGGATTTTCCCATGTATTTTACCAATATAGATAAGGCAGCCTAGAAATGTCAGTGTCCTCCTAACCATAACCAAGCATTCCAAATTTGTTGGCAATGTCCATTTTGCTCTCTGAGTTTATGGTGACCTAACCCTAACCCTAAGTGGAATTTCCCTCCCATGGGATTTTCCCATGTATTTTACCAGGAAACATACATAGGTCAGGCTACAAAATTCAGTGTCCTATTAACCATAGTGAAGCACTCCGAATTTGTTGGCGGTGTCCATTTTGCTCTCTGAGTTCATGTTGACCTAACCCTAATCCTAAGAGGAATTTTCCTCCAATGGGATTTTCCCATGAATTTTACCAGGAAACATATTTAGGGCCCCTTAGAAAAGTCAGTACCCTCCTAACCATACCCAAGCACTCCGAATTTGTTGGCGATGTCCATTTTGCTCTCTGAGTTCATGGTCACCTAACCCTAACCCTAAATGGAATTTTTCTCCAATGGGATTTTCCCATGTATTTTACCAGGAAAGATAGATAGGGCAGCCTAGAAAAGTAAGTGCCCTCCTAAACATACCCAAGCACTTCGAATTTGTTGGCAATGTCCATTTTGCTCTCTGAGTTCATGGTGACCTAACCCTAATCCTAAGTGGAATTTTCCTCCAATGGGATTTTCCCATGTATTTTACCAGGAAAGATAGATAGGGCAGCCTAGAAAAGTAAATGCCCTCCTAACCATACCCAAACCCTCTGAATTTGTTGGCGATGGCCATTTTGCTCTCTGAGTTCATGGTGACCTAACCTTTAACCTAAATGGAATTTTCCTCCAATGGGATTTTCCCATGTCTTTTACCTGGAAAGATATATAGGGCAGCCTAGAAATGTCACTGCCCCCCTAACCATACCCAAGCACTCCGAATTTGTTGGCAATGTCCATTTTGCTCTCTGAGTTCATGTTGACCTAACACTAACCTTAATGGAATTTTCCTCCAATGGGATTTTCCCATGTATTTTATCTGGAAAGATAGATAGGGCAGCTTAGAAAAGTCAGTGCCCTCCTAACCATATCCAAACACTCCGAATTTGTTGGCAATGTCCATTTTGCTCTCTGAGTTTATGGTGACCTAACCCTAACCCTACGTGGAATTTTCCTCCAATGGGATTTTCCCATGTATTTTACCAATATAGATAAGGCAGCCTAGAAATGTCAGTGTCCTCCTAACCATAACCAAGCAGTCCAAATTTGTTGGCAATGTCCATTTTGCTCTCTGAGTTTATGGTGACCTAACCCTAACCCTAAGTGGAATTTTCCTCCAATGGGATTTTCCAATGTATTTTACCAGGAAACATACATAGGCCAGGCTACAAAATTCAGTGCCCTACTAACCATAGTGAAGCACTCCGAATTTGTTTGTGATGTCCATTTTGCTCTCTGAGTTCATGTTGACCTAACCCTAACCCTAAGTGGAATTTTCCTCCAATGGGATTTTCCATGTATTTTACCTGGAAAGATAGATAGGGCAGCTTAGAAAAGTCAGTGCCCTCCTAACCATACCGAAGCACTCTGAATTTGTTGACGATGTCCATTTTGCTCTCTGAGTTCATGTTGACCTAACCCTTACCCTAACTGGAATTTTCCTCCAATGGGATTTTCTCATGTATTTTACTAGGAAAGATTGATAGGGCAAGGTAGAAAAGTGGGCATTCATGGCATCTCCCCAGTCCTAGGCCTTCATCTGGGTTTTGTAAAAGCTTTTTGCTTTAGGTCTCTGCCACCATGTGCAGAAAAAAAAGGGTTCAATCAATCAATCAATTTCAACTTCTTGGGGGAAAAAAAAGATTGTGCAAAGTTGGAATTGATTGATTGAACATTTTAGTTCCACCCAGACTTTCCTTACCACCACAGCCACACCCATCCAATTGGCCATACCCACCCAATGGGCCACACCCACCTCGCACCTGATGATACATAAGTGGGTTTTGGGTTGCAGTTTGGGCACTCGGTCTCTAAAAGGTTCGCCATCACTGAAATAATTGAATTTATGTTAGGTATGAATGGTGCTATGCTTCAGATGTTGCTACATTATAATTCCTAGACATTCCACCAGCATGGTTAGTGTTGATGGAGGTTGGAACATAAGGTTCAGCATCTATCGTTGGAGGACTACAATTCCTTCCTCTTGCTGTAGAAGAAACAACTGTTTGAATCTTGTGTCTTTCCCTGATTCTTAGAATGAAAACCAAATACTTCACCAGCAAGAATACTGTCAGCGTCAAAGGCAAATAGTAGATGCACATGAGCGCCAGTTGGCTGAAATCCAAGCTAACAATCAACACCTGGAACAGCAAAAAGATGGTAAGTTGAAAATTAGAGATTTTGCTGAATTGTCATCCTTTTGTTCCTGGTTCATATTAAGGAGATACCTGAATTGGAGAAAAAAATAACAAAGAAGGATAAATGGGCTTTCATTTAGCCAAAAGTGTTTGAGACTAGCACACATGGGTAATTATGCCATGTATACCAGATAAGAGAAGGGTATACCACCTCAATGGTGCTTGTACCTGATATTTTATGTATGGAATTTCCCAACTCAAAAGACAGAGGAGACCTGGTTCTCATCAAGAGGAGATTTGAGTGTGGTGTATCAGTGTTGTTCAATCCAAAGGCAACAAATGATCTCTACATGTATAAATTACAATTTCATGAAGAAAAATTCAAAACCCAACTTTCACTCTAGCATGTTAGATTACCTTTCTGTGGTCTTCTTTATGGAGAACTACTTTATCATTTGAATAATTACTTGTAGTGTTGTCATATGATTAAGACGTGTATATATATATATATATATATATATATATATATATATATATATATATATATATATATATATGTTTTCTGAGGTTTTCGCGGGTGTTTGTATGTAGGTCTTTGGTTATTCGGGTTTTCTCCCGCGTCAAATTGGAAGTGTCTTGGCGACGTTTCGACGAAGTCTCATTTGTCATCTTCAGGCTGGTGTTTTCGGCTTCGTGCTTCTAGGAGCACGAAACACCAGCCTGAAGATAACGAATGAGACTTTGTCGAAACGTCGCCAAGACACTTCCAATTTGACGCGGGAGAAAACCCGAATAACCAAAGATCTACGTGTGTGTGTGTGTGTGTGTGTGTGTGTGTGCGCGTGTGTGTGATCTATGTAGGAGATGACCAGGCTGAGCCCAAGGGAGGGGTCAAAAGCATCACCGGTCATGAGTCCCTTCATGCCCACAAGAGTTCTAAGTCCAGCCCATCTTGAATTCCTTCTACTCTTATCTCCAGCTAATTTCCCTTGGCCGTTGGTAGTTCAGATTCTTGCAGAGAGCTCATAAAGCTTCAATATATCCTTATACCTATTTGAACTGTCAGGATCTTTTGATTTTCCTAGTGTTTGACAATCTACTCCTTCTGAGAAACAGGCTAGAAGAATATATATTAATGAAACATGTATAAAGTGTTTCTGAGCTAAATGAATTAGGATTCCAATATATTTTTAAGGCAAAATGGCATACTGCACATCTAATATTGTGTGTTTGTGTGTGTGTGTGTGTGTGTGTGTGTGTGTGTGTGTGTGAGAGAGAGAGAGAGAGAGAGAGAGAGACCATTGCATTAATTGATGCAGTTGTTCCAGCACAATTTGTTCCATTTTGTATTTATCTAGAAATTCGTACACGCCTGTCAGAGCTGAAATTAGGGAATTCATCTTCATCTCAGATAGAAGAGTTATTGATGGAGCTGAATACCCAAGAAAAAAATAACAAGTTGACTTTGAATGCACTGAGGGAACAGGTGAAACTTCTGCAGGCAGCAACAGGGAACAGGTAAGACTCCAAGACAGAGAACTCTGGAAATGAACACATTTTTCAAAAGATCTATATGACAATGTTTTAGTGCATACTATGTGGGACATCAAAGATAGTTCAGACCATATTAATAAGACTTGTCTGGACATTTGTAATATGACTGGTGTAGTGTGCTTGAGAACATAAATAAGCATCACCAATGAATGGAGAAAGCAAAAAGGTCCTTGTATAACATCCAATTCCCTGCTAAGAAATTCCAGCAGGTGAGGTCGAGAGGAGCCTTTTTTGTTGTGGCCCCCATCCCTGTGGAACATTTTATCATCAGATATGAGAAATGTTCCTACCCTTTTAGCCTTCTGGAAGAGCATTAAAACTTTTCCAGATGGCTTGGGGTGTTCACTCCTGGAGGTGTTGACAGGGTATAAAGACCTCATCTCTGTGCCATCTGTCTTAATTTTGTTTTTTTATTGTTTTTAAATTTTTAATCTCCATAGTTTTAATATTTTAATTATTTTTCTTGTAAGCTACCCTGAGCGCCTTAAAGGGGAAATAGGTGGCATAAAAATTAATAAGTAAATAAATAAACGCCTCCTTTTTCATTTTTAGAAGCAATCTAGAGTCTGCCACCAATAGAAAGACAGATAGCACTGTAAATAAAATGGACAAGAACGCCATCTTCAAGTCTATGATGTTTCCAGCAGCTGTTGGGCCCCTCTCTTCCGAGATACAGTGAGTTGGAAGACACTGTAAGCTGTAAGAACATGTAACATAATAGTTTCTGTAAAGTTAGAGTATATAGGAATTATTATATCTTTAATTGTTTCTGCCTATAAAACTTTCCCACCACATAGCAAACCTGCATCTGCAACTCTTAAGGCCATTTTCTCTAGCATCACTCAGCTACCTTGTGGTAATATAAAACTGTACTTTTCATGTTTCTTGACATGATGATGGCTGAATCACAAATTGCTAGCAACAAAATGTCCTAAATTGATTTTCTACACAAAATGTGGTCTCCAACAATTGAAATGACAAACTTTTTACTATTTTGAGAAGGCTTAGCTCCATTCCCAGTGGGACCAGTGAATTAACCAAAACCCTATAGCAGCTGCAGGAAATGCAGTAACTGAACAAATGCATCCTTTTTCATCAAGTTATCTCCGTGCCATGAAAAGTTGAATTTTTGGGGAATGCAACTATTAAATATATAAATAGAGAAAAAATTGTAACAATTCTTGATGATGACTGTTCATATTCCTGACAGGATGCTGTACCTGACTTACTTGCAGAATGGAGGCAGTGACCATCACATCCTCCGTCAGATGTGTGAACTGCAGCTGGAGGCCACAGCCCTGGAAAAAAATGGCACAAAGCCTGAACAAAGGGGTAGAAAGAAAAGTGAGTTATGTTTTCCCAATCAACTTTACCCCCAAATTTGGATATTGATCCTACACTTAAGCCAAGAATGTTTGCATCTCTCTTGAGCTCAGCAAAGCGTTAACAGATCATCACCAGATTCATACCACATGCCCAAACTTAAATTATAATTTATATCTTCAATGGTTGGGTTCATCCAAGACGGTAAGCCAAAACCAAATACATTGCAGTAAGATTAACGTGAAGTCTTAACCCAGTCTATGGGGAAACTGCCTTCCACTGGATAGTATGACCTTGCCCATAAAAACTCATTTATTACGCATGTGTGAATCTTTAAGCTGAATTATTGATAGATCTTGTAAATCTGAAATCTTAGCAAATGCTTCTTTCCTCAGTCACAACTTGTAGCTGTCCTTGCTTCTGATTGAATCTCCTTCCTATCTCTACAGAATATGAAGATAGTCTCAACTCAAAAACTTTGGATGCAGAACTCTTGTCTGTTGAGTTAGAGAATCAGTGTCTGGAAGATGAGATACTGAAAATGAAAATTCTGAAGGATAGAAGGAGAATGGAAAATGGTAAGAGTTCATAGCCTTTTTTTCTTAACTGAATAAAGATAGTGGCCACAAAGCCAGCATTTCAAATTAGTCCACAAGATGCTGAAGGACAAATTACTTTCACAAGAGTTAAGGAGACATTTTTATAATTAGAGGTTTTGGTTTATAGCAGGAGTGACTGCCTGCGGAATTCAGGGAGTTGAAGTCCACAGGACTTAAAGTTGCCAAGGTTGGACATCCCTGGTTTATAGTTTGCATCTACACATGGCGGCAGTAAAGTTTGGAAACCAAATTAAATATGCTAGCTTAGAGAAATGTTGACTGCACATTCAACCCTTTTCTGCCTTGAAATGAAAACAGAGAGTCAGTCCGTGCATGAAATGGGAGAAGAAGAAAGGCAAAGAGGAATACATCTCCTTTGATTCCTGTGTCGCCAGTGCTGTAGGATGCTCTTTTTTGAACACAGATCTATTGATCTTCTGAAAGCCCGGGTCACAAAAGGAATGATAAACATGTTTACCAGCCTACCAGTGTTTTTAAGATGTGTCCAAAAAGAGCTCAATTGTGAGATCAGTAGGACAGAGAAGGGATGTAAAGTAAAGGTCCTGGCCATCCTTCAGCCCATTAAGAGCTGAGCTATTCTTGAGGTTTATCAAATTTACCCGAAGGCCTGAAGAGGGATGAAGGAATGGCCTTAACAGACAGGAGGAAGAACTGATACCTGTTAAAAGGGTCCTGAATCCTTGGCAAGAATGTAACCTGTGTAAACATCTCAGACAACCCCCTCCCTAGTTCACAGCAATATAAAGGGAGAAAGGAAGAGTGAATTCAGACTTCCAAACTTCTATTACTACGGCTTCACAATAAAACTATAACTCACCTACATGTCATTGGTTTCCTGTCTAATCTACCTTGAATTGTTGTAAAGGCCAGTAAATGGTTCTACAGTTTCTAGTTAAATGAACTGGAAGGACAAACTGGTAGAACATGTGTCAATTTCATTCTGTCTGCACATATCTTAAATGGGCAGCTGCAGCACCTCAAAGTATCCTGTAGAACAGGGCTTTTCAACCAGTGGTATGGGTGCCACCTGTGGTACATTGGCACCTGGCAGATGGTACGTGACCATCCTAGAAAAGTGGTAGTGAATGAGCTGAATCGGTGGCAGCACCAATTCACCCATCCTAGAAAAGTGGGGAATGAGCTGAATCGGTGGCAGCACCGCACAAGCCTGAGCGAGAGATGGCTGGAGTTGCAGGGCTGTTAGGGCTCAGTGGAAGTGCCAGGATCAGCGCTTCTTCGGGACTGTCAGGGCTCGGTGGAAGCGCCAGGATCAGCACCAGGCTCCAGCTGGAGCTCGGCGCTGATCCTGGTGCTTCTGCTGAGCCCTGAAGAAGCACCAATCAGCTGGAAAGCAGTACTGATCCTGGTGCTTCTGCTGAGCCCAGAAGAAGCACCGATCAGCTGGAATATTGCAGCATCTCTGGGGTCTTGTGATTTACATTCAGATGCTTGGCAACTGATTCATATTTATGATGGTCACAGTATCCCAGGGTCATGTGAATTGACCAAAACCTGCTGCAACCCCTAGCAGACAGCGGGAATAAAAACCAAACACCTCCCTCCTCACCCCCCACTGCCAATCCTCAACAGAAATGCTCACAACAATGAAAACCTTGGACAGGAGGAAGAGTGCCACCCGGTGGGCAGGCAGGTGTCTTGCTTGGCTGTGGCTTGGGGGGGCACTTTTTTCAGTGCCATTGTAACTGCAAACAGTCACTAAGTGAACTGTTGTAAGTCGAGGACTACCTGTACTTTATCACTTTTTTCTTTCTTTTTTTTTTTGGTCATCCAAGTTTTTGACACCTTGCTAGGTGACTGGTGGTACTCGGATGTTGCCATATCCTAAAAGTGGTACAATGGGTAAAAAGGTTGAAAAGCCCTGCTGTAGAACATGTGTGTCAAACTCGCCACGTCATGTGATGTGTCACGACGTATCGCAACTCTTTTTGCATTGCCGGCAATGGGGTGGACGCGGCTTTGGTATGATGAAACCGGCCCGTGGGCCGGCAGTTTGACACCCCTGCTAGAATATACAAGTGTCATTACATAGGCAAAAAATGTACTGATTATGATGATGTTATCCATTCAATTGTGTCTGACTCTTGGTGATTCTGTGGGCCAGATCTCTCCACATTTTCCAATCTTGCACTAATTCTTTGAGTTTTTCTATGCTCTGGCTGGTGTCAGCTTTGATGATGGGGGAAAAAAAAGTATTACTTCACTGCATTGTTTCTCTGTTAGACAATTGGCAGGAGAACTCAGGTGAAGGCAACTTCCATGTTCTGTGCTTACACCAGCTGAAATTCCTGACCTATTCAGTGACCACCTGCATCCCTCTTATATGTCAACAATGTACTCTGTTAAAAAAAAAAACAGTGTTTTCATGTACATAAGGAGGCCTGAGAAATTCTTTCCAAAGCAAAGTGTAGTCAGGATTTTCTGTGTGAAGATTCCTCTGTAGAAGTCTGGCAGCCCAACATATCAAGATAAAATGAGGACAGAGGGTGGTCAGCAGTGCTGGTGAGGATGAAGCATGCATGCAACATATACAACCTAACATAATTCAACAAAATAAAGTGTTATGAACCAGCCACACAACTGGGAAGTGTACCAATGCTATGCTCTTATAACACTGGAAAATGGTTAATACTTCATCATGAAGCATATTATTTGAAAATTCTGTAAAAAGGGAAAGATGTCCCATCACTATAAAGTGGATGGTGATTCTGGACCAATTTACAGATTCCCAGCTGACATGTGTATTAAACTCTTGAAAGATCTTGTAAGATTTCCATTGTATGCAGCAAGTTTTCGACTTACAATCAGCATTGAGAGCAGAATTTCCACCACTATGCAATGCAGTCATTAATTGAATCCCATACAATTTTGTGACCTTTTTTGCCACTGTTGCTCAGCTAGTCACTACAGTTATTAAGCAAATCTAGCTTCCCCCATTAAGTTTGCTTGTTGGAAGGTGGTTGGGAAGGTTGCAAATGGCAATCACATCACTCAGAGATGCTGCAACCATTGTAAATACATGCCAATTTCCAAGTGTCTAAATCACAACATGTGATCTGCAATGGTCATAAGTGCAAGGAATGGTTGTAAGTCACTTTTTTTTAGCACCATTGTAACTTTGAACTAAACAAATGGTTATAAGTCAAGGTTTACCTGAGTTATCTTCTTACTGTATGATACATTTTCTGTGGGGTTCTAATTACAGATTCTTAGTGGCTATGTATTCAAGACCTGTATTCTTGCCCTGGAAGGAATCACATAAAAAGAGCACTGCTGGGTCAAGAAAAGCCCAATCTAGGTTCAATCTGTTTTTTGTAGTGGTCTATCAGATGTCTCTGGGGATATCTCCAAGTAGGAAATAGAAACATACATCCTCTAGTCTGTTATCCCCTCTACTTAGTATTTGGAGTCATCCCTAGTGTAACTTGGAGGTAACATTGAGCCTTCATTGCTTCAAACCCTTAAGAGAGCTGCCCTCCATTAATTTATCTAACTCCTCTTTAAAGCCATCTAATTTAAAGAGCCTTGTGTTAATGAATCCCACAGGTTAATTATGCACTGTGTGAAGAAGTACCTTTTTTATTTGTTTACACTATTTGTTCTAGTTTCCTATTAATCAGTATCATTCAATGTCAGAGACAGAAAAACTTCTCTTCATTCTCTTCCTTTATGCCATGCAAGATTTACTGGCTTCAGTCATGTGCTTCTCAATCACCTTTTTTCTAACCCAGAGTTCCAAATGTTATAGCCTTTTCTCAGAACTGTGCAAACTTCCCAATCATTCTGGAAGTTCTGGTCTGCAATATCTCAGATTCATTACATTCTTTTTCAAATGCGGCAACCACAACTGTACATACAGTATATTTCAATCTCTTTTATAGTCCTTTTTTATATAGCATTTATAGCATTCACCTTTTCCACAGCTATTCCACAGCTACCTGCTAGGACCCCATCCCAAGACCTTTTTTGTTAATTAGTTATAGACAGCTCAGAATCATCAATTGTATATAGGATGCTGGGAGATGGAGAGCTGCCCTTACTTTAAATTTTTAAACTAGATTGTTTTTGCTATGCACCCAGTTTAAATATACCCTTTTAAAGGTCTTTGTAATTGTTTTCAGTTTTCACTACTCTGATTAGTTTGACGATCTACTAATTGATTTTGGCAGCTAGCATAACCTTTATGCCTGGGATAAGAGTCTGCTCCGATTATATAGTCTTGGCATTCACTCCTGGTGTTCATCAGTCATCACTCCCAGAAACATGCTACCCCAATGAGACTGCACAGCAAGAATTTGGGGGAGGGGTTAGTTTGGTATTACCTATAGATTGAGGAAACTATATCCTGTTGAAGGTGTAGCTAAATGTTGATGTCAACCCAGCAAAAATGGAACAGGGCCATGAACTAAGTTTAATGAAAAGCTATAACACCAAAAGAATAAGCATTGACATTTTCTGCTGATTTATCTATTAATTTCCTATGTTTAATCCACATTCTCCAATTAGACCAGCCATCTCTACATTCTTTATTGGCATTTGGAAGTGCTCTCATCGGATACAATGCTACATTAATGAGCTTTTGTGTGTTGTTCATTTTCATTAGGTTCTTTGGACTTAGAGCTGGACAAGTTGCAACAAGTACACATGGCAGAAATGGCTCAGCTACATGCTGAGATTGGCAGGCTGAGACACAATACTGAAAGAAGAAAACTTCAGTGGCCTAGAAGGGGATCACCACCCCTTCTGCCACCCCCTATAGCACCACCTCTGCCACCTCCTCCTCCTCCTCCTCACTTTGGGTTCCCTGATCCCACCATTCTGACTAGAAATATGGTGAGTGCCATTTTCCCTGGATAAATTTGAGAGAGGTTTTGCAGTTATATAGAACAATTTGATCTGCATGATCTGCTGTGCTTTTGTTTATAGTGCATATTTTCTAACAAAAGAAGGCAAGAAAACATTGCTCCTATAAACACAGAGAAAGTAGGTAGAGTTTTCTCTATGATGGGACTTGTTTTTTTTCTAAATTCAGCTCAAGTTCAGTGGATTGGCTCATGAGTCTAGGCTTTGAATGAAATCCAAATTTTGACCTCTAGCTTTTATGGCAATATTTTTCTGTCATATTTGTGATGATTTCATTAACTTTAACTCACAGTTAATGTGTAGTAAAAGAAACAGTGTTCTGGAAAAATGAGCAGGAGACACAATCTATACAATGAGTGGCTGTAGTGCAGTTTTGCCCATAGTTTCCTTCCTTCTTCCCTTATTTCAATACTTTGCCTCAGGGAATATACAAGAAAACCAATCTTTCCAACAAATTTGCTTTAGCATCCGCTGACCTTTGGTTGCTGAATTGAAAAATCAGTGGCCACAATTAGTCACAATTACAGATCCCTATTTACAGATATTTTTGATTCAAGTGATGGCATGCCATAAAATGTGTTCAATGTTATATTGAAAAATACACGTACTAGCTACTGGAAGAGGAAAAAGAAGACATTTTTGCATTTATATGATCATCTTAAAAAGTATTATGGTGCCAAATTTCAATGTCTCAGAACCGGTTTTAAATTTAAGAACTCTTCCACATGGCATGGTTCCCCTTTTCCAATCCTTGCCAAGCATCTTAAATTCAACCATCTAATCATCTTAAATCCTGAGGGTGAAGGTTCGTTCTCCAAGCTTGAGGGTTGGTTTCCAAACGTTTCGTTACCAGGCTAGGTAACATCTTCAGTTTCGTTTAGGGGATGTCTGTGCCAGTGATCTTCTATTTATAAGGGCTTCAGGTGTGGGTGTGTCAAGGGAGGGTCTTGTGATGAGTCATCAGAGAGAGGCTTGTGATAGGTCTTGTGATGGGTAGGTTATTTCACGTCAGGGTCATTGGAAGATGTGAATTATCAGTGGGTCAAGGGTGAGTCCTCAGTGAGAGGCTGATGATGGGTCCTGTAATGGGGAGATTACCTCAGGCCAGGGTCATTGGGAGTGATATTCACAACTATTGCATTTTAAATCCTGTTAACTTCAGAGCATTGAGAATAGGCATGGACTTCTATGAGCCAGACACTGTTCTTTCCTGCCAAGTAACAGCGAAGTGCAAAAATAATAATTCAGTCAATAGTAATAACAAATATTCTCTCAACTTCAGTCTCCATGTGGGGAAAAATATCCTATTGATCCTTAGTCTTTTCAGGAAAACAGTTTGGCTATTCGGATGTGAAGATATCAATATCTCTGCATATAAATTCCATCTGAAAGTGTGATTGTGATATAACACCATACTTTTGCAGCCAGGCATTTTTCCAAACAGGTACTATCAAGTTGAAGGTGCAGGTTGCACTTTAGGTCTTCTGTGGGCGCCTGGGCAGGGGGATTTCTGCTTGCATATGTGGGGAATAAAAGGACACAACTTGCCATTAATGCTTTTTTACAAGGGCACTTTAAACGGTTCATAGGTATGGAGTGGGGTGGGCATCACAGGGGTCCGGTAATGAATGCAGCTCACAAGTGCCTGGAGGGGTATGTTTTACCACCACAATTTGTCTACCATTTAATCTTTCCAGACAGTAGCGTGTTAGAAGAAGTCCTTGGGGGATATGTTTGTTTAGGATATGTTGTTAAAGAATTAGTTGGATTTTGCTGATAAAATTCACAAATTTCCTCTTTGTTATAGAATCCCATGGGATCATCTGCTACAGGAACAAATCAGTACTTTCTGGATCCCTCTGACACACTAGGACCAGCTCCATATGATCCAGTGTATGTAGTACTGTAACCTATAATATTCAGTCCTGAGAGACATTCATACACATGTACAGACAGACAGTCCTTTCTAAATAAGTTGCAGTTAGAATTCACTGCTGCATAAAATATTTGTTTTTAAAAAAATCAAGTGGCCACCTTCACACGAAGTAAATATATTCATCCTTCTATTCTTTCTCCATCCAAGCATATAGTGATTTTGATCAAGCTATTTGGGTATGATGATTCTCATCCAGCTCTATAGAAAAAGTAGCAACATGGAATACTATGAATTTAACTAACTCTATCCTCTCTCTGCAGATCTGGTTTTGTAATATTCTATGATTTTCTTTTCGGATTGGATCCTATGTTCTACCATGTTCGCCTGGTCTCTGGCTTGTATCGTAATGGGCAGCAACTAGGGAAGTCCACACCTCTTCCCATTGTCTCCTCTGATATGGGCCACTCTCCACAGTCTCTCATGGACAGGCAAAGAGCGTGCTGTGCCATCTTAGCAGCTAGACAGCCAGTCCCAAGGTGAACTTCTAAGCTATTTCCATCATGTCACATCTTTTTTAATCAGCAAGTAATTGTGTGGACAGCCATTCAGTTGGCAATTCTACTATGGTTTTGTAACTGTACAAATTATTTCTAAATTCTAGAAAAATAGTACAAAGTAAAGTTAAAGGTTGTCAGAGTAAAAATATTGAATAATATAGTATTGCTATTTAATATTTCTATATCTCCAACTGAGTGCCAACTATTGTCATTTCTGTTCTGTGGCTATATTCATGCGGTACCATAGATTGTTTAGTACACCTTGTAGTATTATTTTAATATGTCAGATTTATTCTAAGAACTTTTGAAACGTTTCAGCTTGTTTGCACTGGGAACAATATGTAATTTATATGCACAAAATGACTTCTTTTCATCCAGTTTAAGGCTTGCTAAATTCTGCTTCTTCCTATTTAGGAGGTAACTTTACACTAACTCTGTATATTTTCTTAAAAGTGATGGTCTATGCTACGGCACATTATGAAACAGACATACATCGGATCCTTCATCAAAAGTAGCCATACTATTGTGGATTTCCTGTGTTTTTCAGAATCCTTCCTTCAACCTCCATCAGCCTTATAGTTGAGCTTCAGGCTTCTGGAGGTTTTGATGTTTATGGCCAGGAAATTCAGAATTTGGCCCCCAGAGGATGGGCTAAAATCAACATTTTTGACCACCTGCACCAAGTGATGAGTGGGCATTGGAAAGTTCCTATACGACTACTTCCTGTAAAACCAAGTCTTACTGAAGAACAATTGAATGGTGTGCCCCAGGTAAGAAAGAATAGAGCAGAGCATAGCAACAGCCTTCCTACCCAAACAACTATTTATAAAAAAAGGTATTCCAGTAGTTTTTCATAGCCAGCTTCTTAGTATTTATTGTGTTTGTGATTTTAGACAGATTCTCTGCCAGATGTCATCCAGTCTACCACTGATTCTCAAATTGATTATTCATTCTTAGAATACCTGATCTTTGGCAATGTATCAAATTATATATGCTCAACCCATCATGTTTGCATTCATCTGTCTGTTCTGATCATATAAAATTCCCTTTAATTTCTCAGGTTGGCAAAACTGAGCTTTATTTGCGGCTGGTGAACACAAGAGATGCTGATTTGCAATCAATGGCTGATATCCAACCTGGCAGTGCTTCCTTATATAAATACCCTCCTACAGTGAGTTGCCATGTCAGAAACAAAATATATACCAAATAGGAACAGTTGGAACAGTTAATTTCTTTTGCATAAAACTTTACTTATTGCCTTCCTTCTAAATATTTATGCATGCTCAAGTATGCTCCTGATGCTGCAACTGTAACCCATTTTTTTGGCATTTTAAGCATCTGTGTGTGGATGCGCGTCTAATCCTAGTGCTCCAGCTTGAAAACAGAACTTCTCTGAGAAACAAATATACATGAATATCCAAATTCATAGGACAGATAGGAGAGCACTTTCCAGACATGCTGCTAATTCAAAGTGTCAAGAGAGTCAGATTGATCCTATATTTTTAACCTAGTTAGCAACTATCCCAGTCATACTATTTTTCTACTGGATCTAGCATCACACAATTGCAAGAACTGCCATTTTGGAGAATACAGAGGACCCATTCAAATCCTCTAGTTTCCCTAACTGGTAGTGCAAATTTCTGTGCTAGGGGAAGACTGAAATATTCTTTAGACAGTGAGCCCTTCCCCATTTGCCAAAAAGGCAACAATGAGCATGACCATGTATTTGCTTGGAAAATATAAAAAGCATGTGTTGAGTCAGCAAACTCAGTAGCGGTTGTTAGTATGAAATGGGAAGACTCAAAATATCACTCTGTTGGACCATGGCTGTATTCAGCAATAAGGATGTCTAGGAAACATCTATTGTAGAAAGAACCTCTCTACTGTATTATTTTATATCACTTTCCAAGAGAAGAAGCATTTACAAACTTAAGGTAGTAAGCTTGAAAAAAAGCCAGCAACTCCACATTTATATTTGAAACAATAAAGTTGTAAGCTCTTGAGCAGAGTTGCAATCTTCAAAGTTAAAGTGCATTGGTTTGTTACAGCAAAGATAACAGACTTACATTTATTTTATTTTATTTTTTGAGAGGAGACCAGCTCCAGAATATTTGCAGTGTGCTCTCCTATTGACATGCTGCTTACAATAATACTCTTATGCTCTCTTCTCTCCTACACAGGCATCCAGTTCCACAGCGCCTCCTATCGATTTTCCTCCAACCCTGCATTCTTTCCATCCTGCCCCCACCAACCTGTCCTTTTCTGCTTCTCCTTACACTGGTTTAATTGACCCTCCTCCTAATCAGGAACAGTCTGTCCAGCTAAAAACCAATGAAAGGTGAAAAAGGAGGATTAGCCGTTTTCTCCCTCCAAGATTTCTTTCCTTTCAATTTTAAAACAAATCAGCATAGAAATATAGCTCCCTGCCCCTGCCCTGTTTGTGGTTTGTTTAAAAAGCTGTTATAATAAATAAATAAATAATATTTCTAATAAGATATATACTTCGCTTTATATTCAGCAGTTTGGCAACTACTTAGTACACATCAAAAGTAAATAAACATTACTTATATTTCAAATCTTAATGGCACACCCTTTTCTTTGAGCTAAAAATCAGGCAATCTGGTGAAGTAGTACTTTTTTTCAGATTAACTAACGGTATCAGCCTTTGAGTGCGACAGCGCATCATCAGAGGCATGTGTAACCTAATGTAGGATTTAAAAAGAGATGTGATGGGGAAGACAAGGTGATTATGCAAATTGCATGCTACACAGATTACAGGCACCTTTTCAATTCAGTAGGGTAATATGTGAAAAAAAGCATTTTTAAAACCATTTTGATGGTTATATCTAACTATCAAGCACTAAGTCCCATCAAATTATGTGGAGCTTACTTTCAGATAAATAGGCTATAAATTAGCCCTGCTTTTTGAAGAAATAATTGCTATATAAAACCTTTTAAACTATTAAGCAACATTTTTTTTTTTAAAAAAAGTCCCTAATGTACTAGTGAACATTTATTTATTTATTTATTTATTTATTTGACTTGTTTGCTGCCCATCTCATCTAGAGGCAACTCTGGGCGGCTTACAAACAAATGTATATAAATAGTCTCCTGAGTAACTGTGAAGTTTTCAAAACAGTTGTTATTGGAAAGCTTCTCATTGAATATCCATAGCTGTGGTTATGATCAGTGACCAGTGTTATAAATTGTCTGACTGAAAAAGGCACCACAGTGAAATACAAACAAAAACTATATAGCTGAATTCCTGATGATAAAAATTAGAACTTTCTAATGTTAGCTCATTCTAGATTACTCTGACTGTAGCTCGTTTGTTGTGTGTGGTTTACTCTTTGTTATTACTTTGGGGTTTATTTTGCTGTGCTCAATAGTTTTCCAAATAAATGCAGTGATTAATTGATCAATTACTTGTTTTTTCTTCCTATGTTCCTTCCAATTTGTTACATTGTACCTATCTATACATCTATATCACCAATTACCTTTCACTTTCCTCTCTGCTCTCTAACATCCAAATGGGTATGTACTGGGTTTTCTTAAAGAATCTTCTGGACTTTAATGTTGTGCTCTGTTCATATTCAACACACACACAACCCCCTTCCTTGTTCGTGTCCCTCTTCTTCCACTACACTATTTTCCTGACTGTGGCATTGGCAGCATCTAGAAACAGATCAGAGGCTTCTCCAGCCTACTCCAGGTAAAGATTCAGTGCGATTTGGTTTTCAGATTAATTTTCTTCTCTCTCTGCATGCAGGAAGATTTATTTTCTTAGGGTTTTTTTGGTGGAAAATTATTTTTCCCCCTGGGGTCTGATAAAGATGGTACATATTATTTCATGAGATGTGGAAAAAGAATATCTGAGCTAATCAGCATCTAATAATTCCAGCAGAGGTGAAAAAATACCCCCGGGTCCAATTGCCGAGCAGAGAAACTGCAGGCAGCCCAAAAAAATACGACTGGGAATCATTCTTGATAGAGTGAAAGGTGCCCCACCGGGCAATGGGGCCATCCGGCTGACAGGTTACCATCAGAAAACTGGTCAGGTAGGTAGCAAATGTGTGAATTTATCTTTGGTTAGTCCTTAGTTTACTGAAATGTGACTTACTGAATTAACCTAAACGTCCAAGTTCACACACTGCCAATCACATTTTAAATGTGTTCTAAAAACTGAATTTTAATGTGGCATAACTTTCAATTAGTAGATGCAAGAGCACACAAGTTAAATATAAGTTCATACACCTGTATTTTATGTCTAGGTATAAAGGAAGTTAATTGAGGTAGCCATTGTGATGTGTAAATATAATTTTCTACAGTGTTTCTTATTAAGTCAATGTTATTCTTTTATGTATAGTTTAGGCATGTTTGAATTCTTGTTGCACTTATGCATATGTAGGAGATTTGGCTTAAATGCTCTTACATTCTAATTTTTCCATGGGAGAAAGGCATATTTCATGCATTCAAAAGGCACAGTTCTTGGTATTTTTATGAACTAAAAAAGATGTGTCTAAAATCCTGAGATCTATTGCCAGACAATAGACAATATTGTACTGAATAGATGAAACAATTTGACACAATAATTTCTTACATTGGCACCCATTACATGCAGAAGAATATATTGTCAACTGCAGCTTGTGAGGTGTCTGAAGCTTAGCCAGAAACAAGAAGAGCTAAGAATTATTGTAATCTAATGTAACTTTATCAAGACTTTTCTATAAATCATAAACTTTGAGTTAACAAGCATCTATATGTAAGTGAATTCAGAACAGCTGGATTGGTTATCCAAGGTCCATAATGTATATTTGGACTATAACATCCCTCATGTTTTGTAGTCTGCAATTCATATTAAGCTTTACTGGAATAGAATCATCCAAGCATTTATCTCAAATATAAAAAATGTATTAAATGACTTAAGCAAGGAGATGAACTCTATTTTTCTTAATCCTCTCAGGTGATTTGCACCAGCAATTCAGGATTTAATTATTGCACTAATTTCATCAGATCAGATATCAAACACAGTTATTTCCTATTTGGAGAAGAACAGGTATGCAGAAGGCTCAGATTGTGGGATTTACATTTCTACAAGAAATCTTTATGCTGTTCCAGAATCAACTTTGCCCCTGAAAGATCTTATTACATATTCAATTTTCATCCTACCTTTATTACTTTATAAGTAACTCAAGGTGGTGAACATACATAATGCTCCTTTCTCTTCCTATTTTCCCTACAACATCCCTGTGAGGTGAATTGGGATGAGAGTGAGTGACTTGCTCTAAGTTACCCAGCTGGCTTTTCATGCCTAATGCAAGACTTCTTCTTCTTGTGCCATATCCGTTATCGGACGTTGGCGATCATGTTGGCGATCTGCTTAACAGGTCATTAATTCCCTACTCTTGCGAAAGGCATTTCTTCCTGGTCTGCAATGTTGAAGCTTTGCAGAGATTGTTGGTGAGCATTTCCAATTCTGCCTCTCAATTTTCAGGTCTTCATTCCCCACTGTTAAAGAGATTCTTTTACAGGTGGGTCAATGGTTGTAGAACTCTCACGGCAAATGCTTGGATTTATTTGCAATTATTGTCATGCACAATATGTGAAAAGGAAAAGGGTATTAAGTGAAGGATATTCTCAGTTGAAGAAAACACTGAGTGTTTCTAGGTCTGCGGGTAAATCAGATTCACTTAACAACTGTGTCACTAATGCAACAACTGCAGTGATTCACTTAACAAGTGTGGCAAGAAAAGACATAGAATGGGGTAAAACTCACTTAGCAACATAAATTCTGGGCTTGACTGTGTTCCTAAACCGAGGACTACCTGTATAGATTTTGTGGTGACATACACCTATTTAAAGCAATGATAGAAGGAATGGATGGACAATGGCGGAAACAGTGGAGCTGTACATCTTTTTATTGAACAGTGTAGATTTCTTTTGATCTCCTCTCAGGTAATATTTTGGGATGTTCTGCCACAAGAAGATATGATCCTTGTTGCTCGCTTTTATCACTGCCCCAATGAAAGGGAAGCATCTGCATTCTGGGACAACAAATTCACCTCCCATTATCCATCATTAGGGAGTGAACAATGGTTAACTGCCTGGGCTGTGTTCAGACTAACCAAGCGGTTTGAATCTTGTGAAGTGATGTTTGCAGGTACGTGCTGGTGTTTTAGATGCCTTGAAGCTACGATTCTCTTCAGGAATCAAGATTTTCATGGTGCTCTTACAATAATAAATGACCCACACTCTGCCTCTTTAGGTGCAAAGAGGGAAAAGGAATCCAGAATGACTACATGGAATATTGGAACCCATACATCATCTCTGTATCAAAGTCCTGTGCCATCTATAACAGTTTTGCCCACTGTGGTAAGTCCACTCAAATGTAGCATGCCAAGGTTTAGTTTAGGAAACAGTAAATACATTAAAGTTAAGGTAACTCCTCCTCCCCCCAGTTAAGAAAATGTTATTCACATTGTAAAATGGGACAATCTGGTTTGCTTTTAGCTTAATGTCAACTTAATTAAGAGCCAAGGTGGCACCATGCTTAGATTACAGAATTGCAGCAGGCTAATTCTGCTGAGGATTTTGTTCAGTTCTGACCAGCTCAAGGTTGACTCAGCCTTCCATCCTTCCGAGGTCAGTAAAATGAGGACCCAGATTGCTGGGGGCAATATGCTGACTCTGTAAGCCGCTTAGAGGGCTGTAAAGCACTATGAAGCAGTATAAGTTTACGTGCTATTGCCAAACCAAGCCATTATTTATCAGCATGATTTACAACTTGGTGTATTATATAAGCCTAGTATGATTTAGTCAGTAAACAGAAGATTGAGCAAACGTGTTCATAATATGCCAGTCCGTTGTAAATATCTAGAGATGGCCCCAAATCCTATTCCTATTACTTCAACATTCTTAATTGGCCTATTTTAGTAGTTTTAAACATTAAACCATTTTAAAAGCCATGTTTTTACAAGCCATAGAAGCAATGTCATATGCGTAAGAATCAACTGATTTAGTTTTCATTCTACTCTATGGTAATGTTCTGTGTCTTAGTCAAGCCTTATCATTTCTATCTTCACTTTAGCCAGAACACAAGAGGTATGGCGATGCTACTTTGAGGCTACACATCTTTAGCACCCAAAAACCTGAGCTGCCTTTCCCACCAGAATCACCAGCCAAAGTTGATCCTACAGAAGCCTAATCCCATACAAGTGCTAGAGGAAGAATAGTTTGTTGTTGTAAACTAGAATGGCTTGGACTCATCTATCCGAAACAGAATTCATAGAAGAACCCAAAGGTGGGGTTTTTTTTGTCAAGACATCATTCAAATAACATGGAAAAGAAGTCAAATGTTTTTCTCCAGTTGTCTCCCCAGTACAGTAACTACTCAACACATTCTTCATCTTGAGGATTTTGTTTTTGCAGTGATTTGTTTGTTGTGTTTTGCGACCTTCTTGAATGAATACATTTTCCGATTTGGAAGTAACAGTTAAATTTACTGATCTAGGATTAATAATCTATCATATGAAAAACTATTGTGGAAGGAGCATGGCCAAAAACAAGTTACTCTTACCTTGGAAAGATATCAATCCCTATATAATCATATGATTTATAAATGATACTGTTCATTCTGCTTAGGAACTAGATCTGCACTAATATACTGTAGTAATAAAAAGGCTGATTTATATCATTCTATGTAATCAAAGTAAATAGTGTTTTAAAACTGTTCTTTTCCGTTTTTCCCCCTTTTTGCATACTTTTTTCTTTACTTCAGTTAAATAAATTCCTATTTTTGCTAATGTAACTACCCCTTCTTAAAATGGAATATGAATATTCCCTTCCAAATAATTTAAATTTATTTACCATCATATTCTGCATTTTTGATACTTAAGATCTTATACTTATTTTCCATCATCTTCCTTTAGGTTAATGGTCATTCAAAGAATTTCAAGGCTAAGTGGATTTGAATTCAAATTGAGCATTTTTTTTTTTAAAAAAATGGCTTATCTGGTTTTAATGAGGGTGTGAAATGGTGTAAATATATTTGGATAGGCAGCACAAACTGTATTTTCCAGTGGATGTAATGGCCTATTTATGAATACATAATATTTTTTTTTTTATGAAAACTGCAAGATGCTAAAAACTAACAGATGCATCTCTCCTACTTGGGTCTAGTGCAGTGTTTCCCAAACTTGACAATTTTAAGGCAAGTGGACTTCAACTCCCAGAATTCCACAGCCAGCGTTGCTGGCTGTGGAATTCTGGGAGTTGAAGTCCTCATGCCTTAAAATTGTCAAGTTTGGGAAACACTGGTCTAGTGCTTAAGGCAGCAGACAAGAAAGCAGGAGACTGAGAGTTCTAGTCACACCTTAGGCCTGAAAGCTGCCTGGGTGACCTTGGGCCAGTTCCTTTCTCAGCCAAGGTTGTTGTGGGAAAAATAGGACGGTGTTGGATGTTTGCTGCCTTGAAGGATCTTAAACAACTTGAGTGAAGTTGTCATTGAGATGCCCATGTGACCATTCCCCTAGATTGCAATCCTGGCTCTCCCAATTGCAGTTAAGCAATTGCATAGGGGTGCCTCAGGGGGTGAGAACCCCCCCCCCCCCGGTGCTCATTGGCATGCAGAAATCTGCCATGGGCAGGGAGTTCCTGGCAATGGTGGGATTCAAATATGTGAACAACAGGTTCTTTGTGGATGCTGCTTCCGGAAATCCATTCTGGGCCTCGGCAACAAAAAAATTAGCTACCGGTTCTGCCAAAGTGGTGCAAACGGGCTGAATCCCACCACTGGTCCCTGGCCTTTTCCTTATCCCATTATGCTGGGGGATTCTTTCCCTGTCCCACAATTCCTGGATTTTTTTACTTTTGCCTTTTTCTGCAGCTGCTGACAGGTATGCCCAGCTGATGCGAGGCACAACTAGGAAACTAACAGCAGGATCTTTCTTAAGGCTGGAAAGAGCCTAGCAGACATGGTGGGGAGAGAAGACCCAGGCCTCCTGGTATGGTGCAGCAGGAATAAGTAGCCACTGAACATGCCAAGGCAGTTTTGTGCATGCTGGTGGGCTGGATGGGCAGTTGAGATTGGAGGGGCTCTCTTAAAAGGAACTTAGATTAAATTCAGCACTCTTTACCACAGAAACCAATCTCTTCAAGTAATATCCTCATTCAAGCACACATCTGAGGAACAGATTTAACTAAAGACTTAATTCCCTGAAGGTAGCTCTGGGGAGGGGGGGGGGAAGGCCAACTGCCACAGGGGATTTTTTTTTTTCTTGCCAGAGTGAGTGCAGATTGTTAGATGCTCTGACAACAGTGCTCTGATGTATGCTTTACCTTGCACAGCTATTCTGGTGAAATATTTTGAAAAGTACATACCTAAAAAAAGATAAAATTATTTTGAAAAAAATCTCTTCCTGGAACATTCCCTTCACAGACTACTAGTTTTTAGTGAGGAAGGAGCTTGTCCATCCCATTATTGTTATAAGTTGTACCAACTGGAACATACATTTCCAGGAGGGTCAGCTACAATGGGCAAGTCACAGATGAAAAATCAGATTAAATGCAATCCACTGAAAAGGAAGCAGTAATCCATTCCAGTATAGTTAAGAAAACCAATGGACATTCATAACCAGTGCACCACCAGCATATTGGAAGATGTTAGAAATTATCCAACAAACTATTGGAGGAGCAGAGGGAAAATACAAATACTATTGGTACTTATGATGTCATTAAACTAAAGCCAAAAGGATCTTGTCACCAATATGCCTGAAAAATATGCAAAAAGAAATCCAGCAGTGCAAGGATATGTATATCATTGTATACCATTGATGGAATGTCAAAATCATGAACCAAGGCAAACATGATGTTGTCAGAGCAAGACTGAGAACTTTGACATTGTGTGAATTAGTAAACTGAACCACTTCATATTAAGAGAACAAGAAAATCATAAAAGAAATCCAATTATCGTCATTATTAACAGAATGTTGATGTTCTGATATAACCCCCAAATGATAGAATTATCTCAATTTTGGCCCAGGGCAAGTGAATCAATTATCATAGATATAAAGGAAACAAAGCTGAATGAATTTATGATGATCTGCCACATCTATTCAACACCAAAAAGAAAAAGATGCCATAGTACTCTGTGACTGAAATGATGAATAACAGAAAAATCTGGCCTTGGTCTATGAAATGAACCATGACACAGAACAGTTCTGCCAAGAAAAAGCAATATTTATAGCAAAATACCTTCTTCCTATAACCTAAAAGAAAACTGACTCTATAGACATCATTGAAAGCAAAGTAATATATATATTCTGCAAGATTGAAATACTCTTTCAATCAGCAAAAGCAAGACCAGGTGCTAATTGTAGCTCTTTCTCAAACAACCTCTTACATTACTTTTAACTTAAAACAAACAAAATAATCAGACAAACAAGATATAATTTCAGCAATATTCCATGATTACATGGTAAAGATTTGGTTAAGATTAGTTTTTATAACTCAAGATATGCTATAGTTGGATGTCAAACTGCTGGCCTACCTGCCGGATGCATCATAACAAAACCATGCCCACCCCATTGCCAGCAATGGAAAAAGTAATGATACGTCGTGACACATCACGTGATATGGTGAGTTTGACACCCGTTATAGCTGAAAAAATCTAGTTGACAGACAACAGGTACACCAAATAAATGCAGAATTCCAAAGAACAGCAACAAGAGACAGATAAAGCTAAAAAAGTGTTGCAAAGAAATAGAAGCTAACAAGAAAGAACAAAAAACTTATTTAAGAAAATTATAGAAAGCAAGGGAGAGTTGAGTTATATAAAATGTTGCAAAATACCATTGGAGCGGTACTTCCCAACTTTAGCAACTTTAAAATTGTGGACCCTAACTCCCAGAATTCTCTAGCCATCCAAAGGACTTGAAAAATATCAATTTATATTCCAATACTAAAAAATGCTCAAATTACCAACAATCAGTCTCTCATGTAAAGTAAGGCTCAAGTTTGTATTCTAACATACAGAACTGCCAAATATCAAGAGAATAAAATTTATCTAGATTCTATAGACAAAAAAAATCTCAACACAAGAAATTGAAACAATGTATTTTCCACAGCATTCCTACTCAGAACAATTGTTCTTAAGTGCAGAACATTTGCACTACAGCTGTACTTTTCTGAAGTAGCTCAGTATCAAAACCAATGATATACTAGATCAGTGGCCCAACCTTTTGGACACCAGGGACTGGTTCGGTGGAGAGGTTTTTCTGTGGACCAAATGGTGTGTGTGGTTTTGTGTGCTGCCTACATTCTGTGAATGGGGCTTTGCTTGCTTGCGTGGCCTGGTTTCCAGCATGTTGCGGATTGGTCCTGGTCCACAGACCAAGGGCTGGTGACCCCTGTACCAGATCACTGGTAGGCACATATCCTTGTTTACGTACATATACTGCAATTGCCAAAGTATTTTGCAATTATTTATAACTGCTGGACCAATGGAAGCCTGCTCCCAAACATTTCAGAGCATAAATAGGTTTAATGCTTGCACTACCATCACATTCTAGCTGAACTTTTCTTTTCTTGGTAAAGTAAATGTAAAATTAGGAAAATCTCAGTCAGAAATCCATTACATCAGTATACTTTAGTTTTATAGTCTGAAATTGAAGCTGCTATCTCAAGAAGCCCTAAATGTCCACGACAGTTCAGGTACAAGGTTCAAATGGATACATGTCTCAAAATCTCTATTTGCCCATATTAATAAAATGCCATGATTATTATTAGTAAATCTTCCAAATTCTTATATTCCCATCAAATGCTACTTTCTTATGTGTCTCACTCAGCTCTACCTCAAGTCTTATTTTATCTTGGTGCAAACAAGAAGCCAAAAATGTATCATGTATTATTAGATAAAAATGTTTATCAATAAGGCTAGTGATGAAAAATATTTCATGTATTTTTAACTCCAGGAAATAATCAAAAAATTGCATTTGCTTGCAGAGTAGACACAGAAAAGCATATTGTGTGCGCTTACTTAGAGGTTTGCAAATCTACAGGGAGAGACAATGATTGGTTCAGTGCAACGCAAACTATCTGCAGTTATTTCTCTTGAAAAGTTGTTGTCTGGGCATGATACAATTATAGAAGAGCTTTCTTGAAGGAAGTTTATCTTTCCCTTAATTCTTGCTAACTAGGTACTTTGTTAAAACTACATTTCAGATTTTACACTGTTACTAGTAAGATTGCATTGTCTCACATTTAATTCCTAAAGGAGTTTTAGAGCCATTGATTTTGTCCTATCTACAATCCAAGAGCCTATATTTCTGTTTGGATCAGGATTCAATAAGTTCATATTATTGAGTAGTTTTTCAGCTATGACAATTTACGAATCACTCTTTTATTGAGTACTAGGTAGTAATCCTTCAAAATGGACTATGTGCAAACTTTCTGACTCCACCTGGGTTTTCCTTTAGTTAGTAAATCTTATGCTTTCCTAAGATTTCTTAAACTGAGGTTTTGTCCTAATCCTGACACTTTGTCTCTATGAAATTACAAAACTACAATTTTAAAATAAACAGAAACCTCACATTTTAGACTAGAGAATTTTAAAAACATACTTTTTCATACATTTTTCTTTTCCTATCTACTTATTTTGATCTGAGATTTTTTGGAAGATTCCCACTTTAATCTTGAGAAACTTACTGTACCAAAATGGTAAGATTCAACAGTACTTTTAAGTATTTAAAAAAAAAACCCAGACAATAAGTAACTACCATGCAGATTGCATGTAAGGCAGATAACCCAAATTTGAAGCCAGAACACTAACTTAATAGATTTTAAGATTTAATTTTACATATCTTAAAATGACAATGTTAATGTTTGAGTACAATCTTTATTGAATACAAAAAGTTGCCAAAGAGTGAAAAAATACATTATATACAAAACCCATAATCCTTGGGAGGCAGCATGTCCAATATTAAAGAACTATCATACGGTACTTTGAACAGTTTCAACTTGTGGTCTTCCCCCTGTCTAAAAAAGAAAAAGTTCAATAAATATATTTCTTTTAGAAAGCTAATTAATTCATGCATTGTTAAAGGATTTGGTACAGT